GGGGGGATTACATCTGCCCTTTTTTGCGGCGTGTTCCGCGGTTGGTGCTCGGGACAAATGTTGCGTGAGTTGTTGACATCCTTCAGTTCAGTTGAGAAGTACTTGACGTTTCTGAGAAACAGTGGTGTGGGTCAGACGCATCACAGAATTTCGACGTCACTTCTGGGTAGTTTTTTCGGCTTGCTTTCCTTAGGCGGATTAGAATTCGATCCGCGTGAGGCAGTCTTTTAGCAAGAACGTCCATTGTTATACACGTTTGAAACCATCAATTGTTTCTATGGATCAAGAAATAGCATTTGTGGCTGCGGGACGTTGTGATTAGCTTCATTTGGTCGTTTGCACCAGTCTAAAAATGAAAATAAAATACGAATTCCATTGGAACAGCAGGAATTAATAATAAATAGCAGCGCGCACCAGAATAACCGGTGCGTTCATGCGTTTTGTGCAATTCTGTCCGTCGGACGATTACTTAATGATTTTCAATCCTTTGCATTTTGGTTTATGCAAAAATAGTTGAAATGTCGAAAAACACTCAAAAATTCCACGGATCGGTGCGTGGAAGCTGAATTTGAAACCTAGGAGGGTGAATATCTTCCAAAACTTCAGTCTCCTAATTTTCTGAATTTCGAATGACCTTTGAGATCGGACATTCATGCGGTCATACATGAGACCTCGGCATGCTTAGGAACTGAATTTGAAGTCCTTAAGCAGGGATTTCACAGAGTCCCTGCTTATGCTAGGAACGTTCTCTAGAAATCTTCAGCCTTTTAAATATTCTGGCTTCCGAAATAATGAATTTTCTCGCCAAGACTTCCACGGGGAAGTTGAAAATTTGCTGAGTTGTACGTGGGCGGGGGATGCGACGCTAAAATTTTAGCATTCTAACTTTTGCGGTTCATGAGATAATAATTCCCCTACCAAAAATTTCTTGGAGCCGTACATGGTACTCAGGGAGCGTGAAGGCTGAATCCAAATTTGCGGGGTTCATACGTTGAGAGAGAGCATCACCCTAAAATTTCAGGTCCCCAACTCTCGTGATTCCCAAGGTAATAATTTCTCTCGCTGGAACTTTTACAGGTTGCAAGTGGTACTTGAACGCGCGGGAAGGTCCGATTTAAATTTGCGGGGTTGTATATAGGTAGGGAACATTGCCGTAAAATTTCAGCTTCCTGGCTTTTATGGTTCCCGAGATAAGTTACCCGCCAAAACTTTCATGAGGCTGTAGATGATACCTACAGGCAGGAGAAGGCTGAATTTAAATTTTCTGAATCGCACGTAGAAGGGTTTTAGCTCCCGTGATTACCGCGATAATTTTACCAGTCAAGAATTTTACTGGGCCGTACGCGTTACCCGCGGATGCGGGGAGGCTAAATTTAAATACGCGAGGTTACACGTGGATGTGGGACATTCCTCTAAATTCCCAGTTTTCTAGCCTTTGTGGTTCCCGAGTTGAGAGTTGCGGACATGTTGCTGCGGACACAT